AGATTCATTGATTCTACCTGGTGGCCTAAGAGATAATTTGAGATTACTTGGGTTGGACAGGGAAGAAAAGTAAAGATGGGAACATAACCTTGAGAGAGGAGTGCTAGAGACAAGAGAGGGTTGCAGCCCTAGCTGGGTAGCTCAGTTGGTTCTCTAACTGGGGAGTTCAGTCATTCTGATAGGCCAAGATTGCTAGTTCAATCCCAGGTCAGGGCACATAAAAGAATCAACCAAAGAATGCATAAATAAGTAGAACAACAAATCTATGTTTCCCTCTCTCTCTCTCAAATCAATAAATAAGTTTTAAAAGAGAGAGAGAGAATTGCAGTGGGTATTGCAAAGAGTAGGTTGGCATCAGACATTGTCCTTCAGACTTCAGTACTGGGGAATCACATGAATGTAGGCGAATACCTACTGATCATATGTCATTGCTTGTAACCTCTGCAAGGCTAATTGTTGTGGGGTATGAGCTCATGACTTCAAATCACCATTACATCATCCAGCAGAACAACCACCCAAACTCAGACACATGGCTAATCCTCATCTGAATTGTCCGGCCTTTCTAATGTTTCAGGGCATTTGTAAGAACTTCTAACAAACGGTGATAGACTACACCCAGAAAAGTGGTGGCAGTGAGAGCCGGAAAAACTTGGCATCTGTACTTGGATAATGTGGGACAGTATCCTCCGACATATGGGCCATGGCACAAGCACTGTTAGCTTATGGGTCTCATGCCACTTATGTTGCGTCACTTGAAAATTCTTAACAGAAGCCAAAGAGAAAGTGTGTACATATATGATTAAGCTGGATAATCTGTTGGGGACTCACAGTCTAGAGGATTATTAGATAAGTAGTCTGGAACTTAGATTAAATCTGGACTCCAAGTGCATTTACCTAGACAAAGAACTGCCCCCCCCCACCCACTCCATGCAACCTTTACCCTTACAAACTTTGTTCAGTTATTGACATTGTTGTGGAAAGGGAAGAAGGGAAAGATATTTATAATCATCTTGGATGGGGGTGGAGTGGGGTGGGGGCTAGTTTTACAAGGGCTGATGGCAGATATAGAGGAAGAGATATTAACCACAGTTAGAAGAAAGAAAACACACACAGTTGGAATAATAAAAGCTTCTACCCTACAAAACAGCAGGCCTGTACTTCACAAATATGATTGTGGAAGACAAAGAAAGGTGGTAGAATTTTTCCAAATTAAAAGAGACTAAAACAACATGGCAATTGAAAGCCTTGCAAGAACCTGAACTGGATCTGAATCAGGGGCAAATGTAAAAAAAAAAAAATCCATAAAAAAGCATATTAAAAAAAAACTGAATGAAGAAATTATTTTAGATGATAATACTATATCAATATTAAATTTCCTTAATTTGGTAATTGAACATTAGTAAGAGAATGCTGTTCTCAGTTTTATAAGGTGATGTTTTTAGAGGAAAAGAAAAATGCTATCTACAACTTTTCTCTTGAATATTTCAGGAATAGTTCAAATGAAGCTTTTTAGGCTTCTGGAAGTAGTATAGGTGTGGTTACTGAGAGACCCTGAAGGGCTTCCTGCCAAGATGAAGGATTTAGTACCTAACTCTTTCCTGTCATCTTTGTAATGGCCCAGGGAATACACTGAAGATGTTGATAAAGAAGAGAAAACTGGAAGCTTTAGTCAAGTGTTGGAAAAGGTCAAGTAGATATAAGCCCAGACCTTCCCTGAGATGAACAAGAGTAGGTTTATATCACGCTGTCCGCCAGCATATTTTCCTTCAGTGCTGTTGGGCCCAAAAGGAGGCAGCTGTGAAGCAGAAACCATTGGAAGATAAAAAGAGACTGTGCAGAGATCAGTGGTCCTATTACAAGTGACCAAATGCTGGAATTGCTCACTGGCGAACATTTGAGCCATCTCTCATGGCAGTTGCTTGAAGGCTGCAGCTACGTTGCTTAAGCCTAGGAAAGCTCAGAAAAACTTCTGAAGTGCTTATACACTTAAAAATGTTTCCCTCTTAATCATGTATAGAGAGAAATAGAGATCCAACATAAAATGTATTTTCAGAGAAGCCATGTTAAAGAAAATAAAATGGTTGCTTTTAAAAATCTAAAATGATTTTGACAGTTCTAAGAACTATTGAGGTAAATAGTATTATTCACTCTAATTCTCTCTTTTAGAATTTATAGCTTGGCAATACAACGTCTGAAAAGCAAGGGGGTGGGAGGAGGGCCCCTTGTACCACTGCTGGGTTCGCTGTCATAGATCTGTTCCAGGAAAGAGGCTCCCTCACCCAGCAGCCCTCAGGGGCTCAGATAAACACTGATTCCTGAGGAATTTATCAGCTGCTTAGGGAGTGAGCTGAGCTTGATGGGAGCTGGCACAGGTGTGTATGTCATTAACTTCAGTAAGGTCTTTAGACAGACAGGCCGTAACTGCCGCAGGGCTGCTCAGTAGCACCAATGGGCATACTAAGGAAGAGGAAAATAGTAGTGGTGGTGGATAGTATTATTTCTCTTCTCTAGAAAAATTCCTTGTCTGGGTTCATTGCAATTTTGCTACAAATGGGGGTAGGTGGGTGGGTTAGTTATTGTTGTGAGTTCTTTTGGATGTGTGGAAACTATTCTTGATAGCAGAACCTGAATGTCCTACTAAATGTGTTAATTGGGTATTTTATAAACAAAATATTGAGTGCTCTGTCTTATTTACCACGTAAAAATTTATTCCTTTTCTGAAAACAAATCTAAATAACTAATAATTGGACAGTATTAAAAAAGGATAAGCCTGCTTATCCCTGCAAATTGGGTAATTTTACCATATACCCAAGGCATTTCAATTTTATGCCCATTTCGTAGAAAGCAAAGAAAGGTAATGTTTAGAAGAGGACATATGTTCAAGGAAAGTTTTTTTGTTTTTGCTGGAAGAGATCTGAGCAGGTATCAGCTGAGCTGATAGGAGTCAACAGAAAGGGTTAGATGGATGATATCAGTGAAAGGGAAAACAATTAATAGTAATAAAAATTTTTCAGAAGAAATAGAATTCATTATTTTGAAGCCACAAATGGAGGAATTAGCCTAGAAAAACAAGAGACACTCTTAATTGTGTGCCGCAAGATGGAAATGGTGACCCTGTAGGCACAATGTTACGTGAGACATCTGTTTTCTCTGTGAGTAAGAGCAGTGCTGCTGGGAAGGTTGAAACCAGCCTGAGAGCAGGGACGGTGGAGCACAGCAGGTGAGGGAGTGGGAGAGGCAGCTGGTCAACGATAAATCTGGCGTCTTGTTAAAATGACATTGTGATTTCTTTAATCCTTAAACTTTAAAACAACAAATTCTTCTTAGAAAAACTTAGGTTATGAGTTTTTTTTGTACAACTCAGATTTTGTAAGGCTCCCCCCATGACCCGTCCCGCAGGTCGAGCAACGAGGACTCTAGAGGGGGAGTGAGGATGAGGAGGGACAAGAGACTCGAGAAATGGAGACAAAACAGGGCTCTGATCAAGTCTCATTTATTCTGGGGAGATCCACAGTATATATAGGGCAAGAAGCAGAAAAACAAGAACATTTGTTGCCAAGCATGTTTGTGGTAACCACCCCAAAGCAATTTCAGGTAAATATCATATAAATATCCCGGGTGGAACAAAAGATATACAGAGCATAACTGGCTGAGTAAATGGTTACTTAAAGGAATGCAGAAACATTGTATACAGAGGTATCCTGCCTTGGGGCAGGAGATGGCAGAGCAGATTTTAGCAAAATGGATGCCATGCAAACAACCCCACCCTTTAGATTTTATGCCACTCTATCATATTTACCCCAAATTTTCATACATGACTTCAGTCACCCCAGTTTTTTTTTGCAGTTGTACACTGATACTTCTAACTGGTTTTCATGTACCAAATTCAAACTGCTACAAGCAGATTTGTAACACTTTGAGCTATTTCCTAGTGACACTTTCTGCAATCCAAGAACTTTTAACAGTGTCATCATCTCTATCAGACCACTTTACAGTTGTTGGCTTAATGATTTAAATATTTTAATGTTTAGTACTTTTTTGGTGTTTTTATGAAATGAATGGAATATAGAAAAATCAGTGATGTCACTAGTGTTAATCTTATTAAATGAATGTAATAAGATAAAGTGGAAATAATTAGGTTTTTAAAAAGTGAATCTTTGACCATCAGTTGCATTTAATTTGACTTAAGCCAGTCAATTTATTAGTTTTCAATTAATCACTCAAGATGAGTATGGGTACAAAATCTTAGAGATAATATAATTGAAAATTGTGTCTAGTCCTGGCCGGTGTTGCTCAGTGGATAGAACCTCAGCCAACTGACTGAAGAGTCATGGGTTTGATTCCTGGTTGACAGTTTGATCCCGACACCAGTCAGGGTGCAAGTGGGAGGTAACCAATTGATGTGCCTCCCTCACATCAATGTTTCTCTCTGTTTCTGTCCCCATCATTCCCTCCCTTCTAGTCTCTAAAAAAACCAATAAGAAAAACAAAACCAAAAACAATGGAAAAATTGCCTCAGGCAAGGATTAATAACTAAAGAAGGAAGTCGAGTTAATGAATTTTTATTTTGAAATAATTTTATATTCACGTCTGTCTAAAAATGAAAGATTCCAAATGCAATCTAAGTCTAGGGAAAGTTTTAATATTTGACTTGTAGCTCTGTTCAGGAATGTATTTTTGAAAGAGTATGAAATGGCTCGATCTTAGATTTTTTTCTAACATCCTTCAAACTAAAGACTTTGCCATTTCAGAATTTATTTGGTAAACTACAACTCTGCATTCTTGTATTGGCAATAAGAAGAGTCAGCAACATTAGTGCTCTTTACAGGTGTTGCTTTCACGTAGGTAATGTATTAATAAGTTAAGGGGATAGGATAAGCTTAGAGTAGTATATCACTTGTTTAATTATTTAATATACTTAATGTATATTTTATTCTTTTTTGTGATAACTTTATGTCTATCTGTTTATGTGTATAAAACATACCCCCCCCACACACACACACTGTGTTAGGATAGTAACTTCTCCTCAGTAGCTTCTGAGACGAATGCATTTCTATCACTAAAATTACTTTAGCTGACGTGGTTCCCTTCACTTCTGCAACATCATGCAGAGTTAGTGATCAAATTTGCACCAGAAAACATTTTTTACTTTGGTACAAGTCATGTGTAAATAAATGGGTATAAAATAAATCACAAAATTGTAGTTTGAAAAAGTGCCGGGAGATATTTGGCAGCCTGAAATAGTAAGTAACATATGATGATGGGGAGGGGGGTACAATTCAGGTAACATTCAAACCTAAGTTATTCTTTTTCTAGGAGACATCCTGAGTGATCTACACAATCGATTGCATTACTGAACTGAAGCATAGAGAGAAAACCCTTCCTTTTAAAAGAATGTAGCAGCACCCTGGCCGGTTTTGCTCAGTGGTTAGAGCGTCCGCCTGCGGTCTGGAGAGACCCGGGTTCGGTTCCCGCTAAGGGCAGGTACTTCGGTTGCAGTTTGTCCCCGGCCCTGGTTGGTCATGCGGGTGGCAGCCACTCGATGTGTCCCTTTCACATCGATGTTTCCCTCTTTCTCTCTCTTCCTCTCTCTCCCTCCCACTCTATCTGTGCAAAAAATGGAAAAATGTCCTCGGGTGAGGATTAAAAAAATAATAATAATGAAAGAATGTAGCAGCAACTTACAGCTTACAGAGTATGCTGAAAATGCATATATGGTATATGGAGACACTGAACCAAAAATATGAATTTTGGAAAAATATGAAACCCTAACACAAAATCATTATGATTCAAAAACATAAGGATGGACTATAGAATGGTAGGAAGTTATAAGAGGACCATTGGACAACATAGTGCCAGAGGACCAAAGAACAAGCAGATCTGCTGAGGCAAGAATAGAGATTTAGTGCCTAGATTACGACAAACAAAAAAAGAAAAATCTGCCCTGGCTGGTTTGGCTCAACAGTTGGAGCGTCAGCCCACAGACCAGAGAGTCCCAGTTTCGGTTCTTGCTAACGGCACATACCTTGGTTGCAATTTGTCCCTGGACCCAGTTGGGGTCATGTGAGTGGCAACAAGTCAATGTGTCTCTCTCACATCTCTGTTTCTCTCTCTCTCTTCCTCCCTTTCTCCCTCCTACTCTATCTGAAGATAAATGCAAAAATGTCCTTGGGTGAGGATAAAAAAAAAAAAAGAAAAAGAAAAATTCCTAACAGAATAGTGCATGAATAAGGACTGATAGAAATTTAATTGGTTTTCAAACAGAGCATTGTTGTCAATTCAGGTATCAGTATGTCTATTTTCAGGAAAAAGCACCAAGAAAGAAAATATCCTAATAGCTTTCATCAGCTATAATCTTGATTTAAAAAAAAAAGATCTTTTTGCTTGGTTGGTGTGGCTCAGTAGACTGAGCATTTTCCCTTGGACTGAGAGGTCTCAGTTCGATTCTTGGTCAGAGCATATGCCCGGGTTTTGGTCTCGATCCCCAGTGGGGGGCGTGCAGGAGGCAGCCAATTGATGTTTCTGTCTCTCTCTCCCTCCCTCTCTCTTTAAAAAATCAGTAAAAACATTAAAAAATATATCTTCTCAATACTTGTAGAATAGTTCTTCATTTCTGTATTTACTTCACATTTAATCAAATTGAAATTGCTGTATCTTTTGGTTTCCCATCCTCACCACACACATAAAAATTAAACATTTGTCTTACTTAGGAAACAGTTGATCTTTAAATGAACTAAAACTAAAAAAAAAGATGAACTGATTTAATATGTGAGAAATTATATGTAATATGTTTTACTTTTATAAGAGGTAAATGAGTAAAACCAAAATATTATTTTAAATGTTTTGAATTACTTCTCATTATGTCTTCTCTTAGATTTCTTTACTAAAGTTATAAATATGTCTCACATAATAACAAAACATGTATACACTATCTAAACTTTTTATCTTGCCTTTGGCCATATCATATTTTGAAACAACTATGTGAGATTGGAAGAATAAAAGATAAGTCAGTAAATCTGCTGGAAACTATAATTTGGTAACATAATAGAAATGACATAAAAATCTAAGCTAGAGAATGCATGGATAAAAATCAATAAACTTGGAGTAGATTTTAATAGGTAATTTTATTCTTTGTCCCCATAGCAATATGTAACATTCAGCGTCAACACTATTTATGTAATAAATACATTCATTTGTCCTATGCCATTTTGGTTATGGTCATCAAAACTTTATGCAGAAGCCTTCTTCACATTTCTAATTTGTGGTATCAGCTTTTCCAATAGTATATTTTTAAACACAGCAAAGGTAAGATTATGCAAGGGAGATTGAATGCTATTTCATTAAGATGAGTTGTAATGTTCAACAAGTAAGAGCAGAAATGCATTTGGAAATATTTCACATAACAGAGCTGTAGGAATTTTCCTCATAATTTTATAAAAGATTAAAGGGGCCTCTAGGAACTTTATGCTCCTCCATTTTTCTTGCTGAAGAATGTGAACTGATTTCCTCAACTGATAATGTAAATGTACCATTGCAATAAGTAAAGATCTTATTGGTGAAAAATGAATGACACACAAATACATCAAAATATATTAAACCTCATTAATAATTAGGAAAATAAAAATTTAAACCACAAGGAGATACATCTTAGTAGATATACATCTGCCAGTTAGTATAAATTAAAAGTCCAAAAATACTAAGTGTTGGTTAAAATATGTGGAAATGTTCATAAAATAAAAATGGGTGAGTGTATTGTTATAAGCACTATCAAAAACAATCTGATTATACCTAGTATTTTAAAGATCAGAATTCCCTGTGGCCTGGAATTCCACTCAGGTAGACACATCCATCAACATGCCAATAATTTTAAAACCTCACAAAACCAAATGATGGCAAGTATGTTATATACTATTGTTTTTATAAAGCATACATTTATACAATTACTCTGGAAGAAAAAGGTAGCAAAAATTAAAATGTATATACCCAGCCAAATCTATTTTTATATACAGGGTGAGACAAAAGTAGTTTTACAGTGGTTTGTATGGAAAATAATACAATAATTAATAAATAATAATACAAGAATTAACTGTGTTTCATGTCCTTGTAACTGTAAACCTAATTTTGCTCCAACCTGGAAATTTGTTGGGAGACTTTCACAATTGGACCCAGAGACACTGAAACACTGTTTGCAATTTTGAAATATTAGAAGTAATCTCACTATCCATTAATGTTAGAATAACTAAATCCATTTTGGAATGTTGACATACAAATAAAATAAAAGTTGCAATATATGAACTAAAGAGCTGCATATGTTCAACTTGGATAAATATTAAAAACCCATTGAATGATGTGATATACTTTATCTCTCTGTTCTTCCTCCTCAAAACTCATAACCACAGCCTAATCATGAGAAATACATCAGGCCAATATCAACTGAGGACATTTTGCAGAATATCTGACCAATAATGCTCAAAACTGTCAAAGTCATCAAAACTAGAGAAATATCAATAAAGCATGGCCTTTAGTTAATAATAATACATCAATATGGACTTATTAATTATAACAAATTAACCAGGCTAATTTAAGATGTTAATAATAGGCCTTTTCTAAAACCTTGCTCTAATAACCTTCAACCCTGTCCCTTAAAAAATCACATCTACTTTAAATCAGGATTTGGAAAAGCAATTTCAGATTTACCAATTTTCCATTTAAAATTATTTTATGTACTCATATGAGTGAACATGTGTTAGTATGTGGTTGTAGGGAGAACCCAGAAATAACTTCATAACCACAAGAAACCGAAGTCAAAAATATAATTTTTTGCCCTGGCCAGTGGGGCTCAGTTGGTTGAAGCATGCGCATGGGAAGGTTGCCGGTTCAGTCCAGGTTGGGTGCATATGGAAGGCACAAATTGATATTTCTCTTTTATATCAATGTTTGTTTGTTTTTTTCTCTCTCTCCCTGTCTGTCTCTCTAAAAAATAGACTCCCTTCTCTTCACCAGAAAAGTTCTTCTCTGAAATAACACCCAGAAAAAAATCATGGCTTTCATAAGTTAAATAAAAGTTGAATTCTTCAAGGTATTATGTGAAGAAAAAAGAGACTAATTCAGTTGAAGGACTAGTGAAGTTAGTTAACTCTCAGAGTTAGGATAATATTTTTACATAACTTTTATAATTCAGTATAAAAACTAGAGGCAAAAATAATTTCTGAGGTTAATTAACTTGGATTTAATTACTTGATGCTGTCCTGTGTTCCTCTGTGGATTCAGTGGCCAGTGTGGATTTCCATGTCAGGGAAGTGGTGAGCTCCTTTAGCACAGAGCAGGCATGGAACTCATTTTGATTTGAAGCTACTTAGGTTTAGCTAGTATTGTGATGTGGCTGACATTATAGGAGTTTTACATTGGTAGGTGGAGTGAAAATCAATTTAAATTATATTTTTCCTCACCTCCTTTATAGTTATGTCTTCACCTAAGATGTAAAAAGCTAAGAGGTAACTAGGAAAAGCAGGTTTCAGATATTGCTGAGTGTCTCACCAACACTTTAACTTTTTAATACATTGTGAACAGCTTCTTCATTGGGCCTAAGTATTGATTTTTCTAAATTAATGAACATTATTCTTTAGAGCATTTTTAGGTTAACAGCAAGACTGAGCAGGAAGTTCAGAGAGTTCCCATTTATCCTGCCCTCCACGCATGCACAGACTTGCCCACTATCAACACCCCGCATCAGAGTGCTGCATTTTTTACAACTAATGAGTCTACATTGACACATCGTTATCAACAAATTCCAGAGTTTATATTAAGGTTCACTCTTGGTGTGGTATATTTTATGGCTTTGAAAAATGTATAATAATAAGTATCCATCATTATAGTATTATAAAGAATAATTTCACTGTCCTAAAAACCCTCTGTGTTCTGCCTGTTCATTGCTCTCTCCCTTCTGACTCTTGGCAACTGTATTGATCATGTACTGTCTCTATAGGTTTGCCTTTCCCAGAAAGTTGGAATCATAGTGTGTAAGCCTTTTTAGAGTGACTTCTTTCATTTGGTTATGTGTGTTTGTTTCCTCCACGTCTTTCATGGCTTGGTAGGATCATTTTTTTAAAATATGAGAAATAACAATATGTAA